GTGTGTGTGTGTGTGTGTGTGTGTGTGTGTGTATGTATGTAACAACTGAAACATAGATTTCATTTTCATTTGTAATAACCTTTTATTATACAATTAACGACAAACCCAGTTATTGTGTCCAAGTGTTTTCCTCCTCTGCTGTGACGTCCACATATCTGCTTGAACCCCTTGAACCCACATGAACACTAGTTTCATAGTACGGAACAGATGGCTGAGCTTTGCACTGCACATACTCTGGGGGCTTACACCTCAATTATTCATGAAAATGAGGGTTAAATGTTCTTTGATGTTTAATCACCTTGACAAGCAAACCACTAGTTCACAGCGGTGACAAACCTGTCAGCTTTTCGTCTGCAAATCTGCACTGTCAACACAAGCATCCACCTTTGTGTGCCTTTCCCTGTCACTCAAGAAACAAGCAATCACTGGAGTCATCCACACAGCTTTTGCTAATGCCTCCAACGTGCCTTAGCTGATGGTCATTTCCAGCAAAGTGTGACAAATGTCTTCCTGTATGGACCTGTCAGCTCAACTAGCGTGCCCGTCATTCAATGATCAGGAAGCGGTTGTCTGTACAGTAGGGACAGGTACTATGTTTTATACATCAGCTGGAATGATAACTGACACCTAGCAGGTTGTAACACTCAGCAAATGTCATACTTGGATGAGAAATGGCCATGAAAGTTTGATTTGAATCCGGTGGGTCATGGACAGATGACACTTCCTGATGCACATTCAGCAGAAAATGTGCTGGAGTGAGTATGCATCGTTGAAGCGTACATCTCATAACTTGAATTACATTTTGAAGGTCATTTCTTGGAAAAAAATATATAAAAAGTGTTTTTTAATAAAAAATAATATTAAAAATAATAAAATTGTAAAAATATAAATTAGTAATAATAATAATAATAATAATAATAATAATAGTTTTGGTAAGTAATCTGGCCTATAAGACCCATTAAGGTTAACAAAAGAACCACCTTAAGGGTCAGAAATTCATCCAATGCCAGCCCCAAGCATAAAATGAGAGACCAATGAGCGGTGGACACCCCTAAAACTGGTTCCTGTATCCTTTGTCCACGGTCCGAAGATCCCAGGGTGACACATTTAGCAGAAGCCTCTACATAGCCAAATGGTTGGAAATGGGTGTTAAATTAATAGGGGTTTAAAATTCTCCTTTCGGCACACTGAAATGTCTCAACAGCAGGGAGAGGCTGAACACTGGAAGCAAGGGAACTGTTATATAGTAGGTGCCCAGCCATTCTATGGGGGGCAGCTTCTATAACAACCTCTTGTGTCCTAACACCCTCGGACAAAGGGACAGGTACTGCACTCTGAAAGCCCTTTTGCGTGCAGTAGCAGCAAAACATCAGGTAGGAACTGACGCCTCCCTGAAACACCTATTGCGGGTTTAGCTAAACAGCCCCTTGAGGACATCAAGGAAATATGTGTGAGCATCTCTGAGAATCCCACAGTTTTCTTTGTGGGAGCCTGCCCTCATGTTCCTGAGCACCAAAGCATCAGGACCTGTCTTGCCTAGTCGACTCTGGTTATGACACTAAGCTTTTGCTGGTGGCTGTACACGTGCTTCAGACCCTCGTCGCACCCATAGTTTCAGATACTGATCGCCTAGTGAACTTACGTAAGGAAACTGTAAGTCTTTTAGGTTTACTACTAGTTATTGCACAAATATGTATGAATGAGCATCAGAACAGAGGGTATGGTGAAGGAAACGATACAACTTACTGAAATGTATTATGTCTGTAATCACTTATAATTTGTTTCAACCGTGGAAAGATGTCAATAAATCAGTTTGTAAACAATATGCCATGTAATGTAACATGTACCTCATTAAAAACATAATTCTATCAATAAAGAGTTGATATAAAGACATATGTGCAATGCAAATGCACTTTTATTTGTGTTGATTATTAAAAATTGTGATTAAATAATTATTAAATACTTTATTGGTAACACTTTAGAATAGGGAACACTTATTCACTATTAACTACAACTTTTCCCTCAATAAATTCCTAATTTGCTGCTTATTAATAGTTAGTAAGGTAGTTGTTAAGTTTAGGTATTGGGTAGGATTAGGAATGTAGAATAAGGTCATGTAGAATAAGGCATTAATATGTGCTTAATTAGTACTAATAAATGGCTAATATTCTAGTAATATGCATGCTAATAAGCAACTAGTTAAGAGACATTAAAATAAAGTGTTACCATTGTCTTTATCCAATGTATAAACAAATATCCAAAGTATAAACAAATTTCCAAAACCAAATTTTTCCAAGACCGCAAAAATAAATTTACAATTAACTTTATCAAAAGCTTTTTCAGCGTCTAAAGATACTATTATTGCCTGTAACTGATTACGCTGTGATATATCAATTCTATTGAAAAGTCTTCTTAAATTACTTGAGGAATGACGACCTTTAGTAAATCCCGTTTGATCTTTATGAATAATTGTAGAAATTTTTGATGCCAAACGAAATGCAAGAGCTTTAGAAATGATCTTAATATTGGTATTTATTAAAGGTAATGGACGATAACTAGAAGGCAACGTTGGATCTTTATCAGTATTCATATGAGAATATGTATGAATAAGCATCAGAACAGAGGGTATGGTGAAGGAAACGATACAACTTACTGAAATGTATTATGTCTGTAATCACTTATAATTTGTTTCAACCGTGGAAAGATGTCAATAAATCAGTTTGTAAACAATATGCCATGTAATGTAACATGTACCTCATTAAAAACATAATTCTATCAATAAAGAGTTGATATAAAGACATATGTGCAATGCAAATGCACTTTTATTTGTGTTGATTATTAAAAATTGTGATTAAATAATTATTAAATACTTTATTGGTAACACTTTAGAATAGGGAACACTTATTCACTATTAACTACAACTTTTCCCTCAATAAATTCCTAATTTGCTGCTTATTAATAGTTAGTAAGGTAGTTGTTAAGTTTAGGTATTGGGTAGGATTAGGAATGTAGAATAAGGTCATGTAGAATAAGGCATTAATATGTGCTTAATTAGTACTAATACATGGCTAATATTCTAGTAATATGCATGCAAATAAGCAACTAGTTAAGAGATCCTAAAATAAAGTGTTACCACTTTATTTAATTTCATATAGTTTCAGCTAAATGAAAGCATCATTTTGTTTTTTTGTAAAAATAATTTTAATGCATCACTATTTTTTTTCCCTTTTGATTTCAGGTGTCCAATTTGTACCTTTATGATAGCGTGTTGATGCTGGCCAATGCATTCTACCGGAAATTAGAAGATCGGAAGTGGCACAGTATGGCCAGCCTCAACTGCATCAGGAAGTCAACCAAGCCCTGGAATGGAGGCTGGTCCATGCTGGAGACGATCCAAAAGGTACGATGTGTTTGATGTTAGGAATTTTTCAGTGCTGCATGTCACACTGTTGGGGGGATATCACATCTAGCACGCAAGACTAGAAGTGGCAAGATGGAGAGTAGTTGAATAAAAGCAATTGTGACAAGATGATAGTTTCCTTTGCTTTACATCAGGTCCCAGACATATGGCTTTTTGAAATGCAAATTGCTTTCATAGGTTGTTTCCTGTCTTCTCCTCTCACGGCTGCAATCACATTTCTCTTGAACACCAGCACAGCGGTCAAGCTGAGATAGCTGTTGGTTGCCCTCACACAGAGCTCTCTTAGGGGCCACTGAAAGCTGTGCAATAGTTGATGCGGTGGCCGCAGCAGCCAATGCGTCTCTGTGAGCTCCCAGGGGCAGCAAGCGGTCTAGTGTGTGTTCCTCAATTTCACAGCCTTTTAACGTTATATGAGCCACACAGAACTGCAGAAAGCCTCTAATCGGCCCTGAGAGGGACTTGCCACTGATAGATTTGTCTCTGAACCTTCCGCCGCCCCTATACAGTCAGACCATTGTTTGATCTGAAGTCAAAGCTGTAAGCCTTTCATGGTGATGCTTTTTAAGGGTGCTTTCACACTAGCACTTTTGGTGCGCACCCGGGTTCGATTGACGTCAGAGTTCGGTACGTTTGGATGATGTGAACGCTGTCTTCCGAACTCGGGTGCGCACCCGCGAACTGTACCCGAGTTCGCTTAAAAAGGGTGGTCTGGGGTACGGTTCAAGTGAACTCCGATACGGTTCGCTGCTGATGTGAACGCAATCGTACCAAATCACGGAAGTGAACCGCTATTAATGACGAATTATTTGGAGCAGTCGAACTCGGGTTCGGACCAAGCAATCGAACCAAGTGTGAAAGCACCCTAAGTGTTGAGCGACTCACACCACTCTAGACTGGTAAAGAAAACATGGTAACATTTTAGTATAGGGACCAATTTTCTAGTTGCTTAATAGCATGCTTATTATTAACATATTGGCTGTTTGTTAGTACTTTTAAAGCACATATTCTGCATGGCCATAATCTACATCCTTAATCCTACACAATACCTAAACTTAACAACTATTAATAAGCAGCAAACCTGCTTGATACGTACCTATTTGTCGACCAATTTATTTGCTGATTAATCCATGCCAATCGGGACTTCATGATTATATTTAATTTTGCATACAGTTGATGATTATTTCACTTAATATTGTAATCACAATTATTAATTTGGATTAATAGAATCTACACAAAATGCAAATATGTTTTGTTTATCACTTTGTGTAAAAATTCATGGTTGGTGAACTCTGACCTTTGAATTTGTATGATGAGAAGACATGTGGCCAATGGAACATTAATATGTCTCAAGGTCACCTCTTTACTGAATTTAAAGTATTTTGAATTTGTAAATGTTAAAATATATATTTTAACATATTTTGAATTTGTAAATGTTTATTAATTTGTTAAATGAATGAATGAATTAATTAATTAATTAATTAAATACTAGAACATGACACCCCTATCCTGTTTGTTACGATGTGCCGATAAATTTTGCATGCTCAGAGTCTAGGTTGACTGAGAAGTTAATGAGCATTATTCCATTGTACTACGTCTTGAATTTTTCTCTCCCCAAATACTCAAAAATGTCTCTTCCCGACTGTTTCCATAGAGGTGCTTTACCTCACCTTTTCTATTCCCCGTCATCATTTACTCTGTGAAGAAAGCACAGCATGCAAGATATATTTTTATCTGTCAAAATGATGGAAAGCCATTGATTATGAATTATGTCACTATTTTTAAAATTCACAAAGTGAAGAAAAAAAGGATTAATGCAGCCCCATTAATGTCAATATTGTTTTTTATTGTTTTGCACTTAAACCCATTGTGTCCCAATGTGTCTAATACTGATGCTTGTCACATCACTAAACAAAAAAGCGCTGTCAAGGTCATCATGGAATTACTGTATATGTGGTATACCTTTGTCATTGTGACATCATATGTTGAGGTATGAATCTGAACAGCAACAATGGTGTGACCAGTGTACTTCGATTCACAAACAAATAAGGTTGCACTAAGAAACCTTGTCTCCTCTCCACCAATAAGCTGGTGTGTGGTGGGCGTTCTGGCGCACTATGGCTGCCGTCGCATCATCCAGGTGGATGCTGCACACTGGTGGTGGATGAGGAGATACCCCCTGACAATGTAAAGCGCTTTGAGTGCCTAGAAAAGCGCTATATAAATGTAATGAATTAAACCTATTCAGAAAAAAACGAGAGTTTTTGGTTTGAATCATACTAATAAATCATTCAGAGAATCCATCAGACCCAGTAACTAATTTGTATCTATGATTATCTGACTAGCATACTGAAGGTTATCATGTGTCCTGTTCATGTCCAACTCAAATAAAACTTTTACTGTGACATGCTGTATATTCTATGAAGCACATTATGAAATGTAGTTTGTGCAACTTAAATCAGTAAATGAAAATTTTTAATTAATTTATAAAAAACTTGAGATACAGCTGTTTCTAAAAACCAGAACTTCCAGAATTCTAGATGTATGATCACACTTATAATACAGCATTGGCCTTATTGGGAAAATGGTGATAATGCCAACTGAGCCAAACCTCTCTCCCAGTGTCCCCAGGCCATATGGCGATTCTTATTGTCAAGCCCAAGGAAGCCTAAAGGTTTGAAATTGTAATTGGTAAAATGCAGTGTATAAAGGGTACAGCACATTGCATTTTGATCTGGCTCAGTTCTTTTTACTGTGTTGCTTTATTGTGTATTGATTCAGACAGTTTTGTTCCCACAGGGCCGTATAACTGGTCTCACCGGAATTATGGACTTCATGGACAATGGATCAAATTCCCATGTTCAGTTTGAGATTTTGGGGACCAGCTTCAGTGAGACGTTTGGAAAAGACATAAAGCGAGTGAGTTCAATAGTTCAGGATAATTTTTAGTACCTGATGTAAAAGCTGTCTTCTGACATTATTTTGCATTATTTTGTTTTTCCATTACCAGTCACCTTTGGTAAAATGAAAACTTAAATTGAGTTCCCTGTTTGTGAGTAATCTGCTTTTTTTGAAAGAATTGCCAATGAGAACAACTTGTCTTGATGTCAACTGTGCAGACTGTGTACCCAGACTGCCATTTTGACACCTCACCTCTGTGTCAAACAGCCAAGAGGCAAGAGTAAACAGCAAGTGAGGAGTTAAGCTTTGGCAGGCTTGACAGGCCAGGCCAAACGTGCTATAATGTGAACTTTATGACATGTTGTCCTGTTTAAACAGTATGTGCTAAGTGTTCCCTACACACTGTTTATTCAATTCCATATATACTAGAATATTTGGATATTTTCACTAGATTTTGTTGTGCTTTTCCTAGAAAAATCACAAGTCATTTTCATTAAAGATATTCCGTCCTCTTTTCTCTTCTTAGCTGGATTTGCTGATTCTCATGATTTGTTTTCGTAGCCATAAACTGCTTGGCTCCATCCATCATTTAAAAGAAAGAGTAATATAAATTACAGGAGAGGAAAGTGTCTGCTGGTAATGAAGATTTAATCACCCTGCATCCCAATCTGAATTATGAACCCACTGTATCACATTATATCCATTAGGATCCACAGTGCCACAACCATTTACTCCCTGCCCGCACACACACGGGCCCTGGCATTACCGGCTCCCCCTCATACAAAGCACATTTATTAGCTATAATGAAAGGAAAGGACAGCTAATGGTACGTCAAGTGTACTCAGTCCCGTTGTTGTTCATTATTAGAGCACCAGCTTTAGTCTTCTAAGCAGTGCCGCCCAAGAAGAGATTAATATAGCCAACTGCATTTCCACCCTTCTGTGGAGACAAATAGCGAGCCGTGCTGTTAATTTGACATATGTCATGGATTGAAAGCAGAGGCAAATACATTTCTTATTTTCAAGTAATTTATTCAGGGGTGACTCAGTACCCTGTTTTAGTGTCTTCTTTTGTCCTATCTCAGTGTTTAGTCTCTCTGTCTGTCTAAATGGCTTTTCTCTGACTGCTTCTATATTAGCTCTGTATGAAAAACTACTAAGCTGCCTACCAAGACAGCATTTTAAAATGTTTGTGACGTACTCCCGTCACTAACACTTTGTCTACACTGGATGGGAATGGGGCATTTTTTCTAAAATAGATTTTTTGAGAAATGTAGACTGTATAGACTGTACATTGATGAAAACATTAATATAACATATTTTATTAGCAAGTGGAAATTTGTTATTTTGCATTTTTCTGAAAAATGTTGTTTTTGAAGCAACGTCGCGAAATATGATGTATATGTGTTAATTCAGAGTGGTGATTGGCTCCCGTGACTGGAGTGTATGCGTCTATGTCATCGGATTCTCTGCAATTATTCATGAGAAAGAGCTTGTTCAATCTAATCACTGCAGACTATTATGAATGAATAATAACTGCATTATAAAATATCACTTCTGACTCTTATCATTCCCCATTGTCATCATTCAGAGACATGGGCTGTAAGTATTTGTTTCTTAAGTGCGACACCATAAAATTTTGTTTGCGTTTCCAAGTGACACAACGAGAGCTGAAGTTTGGGTGCAGGCAGTTGGCTTGCTGTGGACTACTAACACCAATGAAAATATTTGCGTAAGAAACATTTTCTACTTTGAAAGCTTTGAGAATTTGGGACTTGTGGAATCTGGGTTTGCTGATCACCTTCTTTTAAAAATCCCTTCCGTCTTTCCTCTTTCTTACCCTCCCACCTTATCACAGCTGACACCGCCCCTTTTTGGAACGTTTTTCAAATCAGAGGTGTGAAAAAACTGCTGAAACAGGGATGTTTCATGGCACTTTAAGAAACTCCACAATGAATTGCAACAAGCTCAGTAAACAAAAATCCATCAAGTCAGATGAAACAGGATATATGTGGGTTATAAATATAGGGGAGGCTGGGGATGGTTGTAACAGATGTCTATGGGCCAGATTTTCTAAATAGGGCAAATTATTGTGAGACCCCAAATGCCATTGACTACTGCAACATTTAGTAAACCACATTGCATGATTTATTTAGATACTCTCCTCCCATACATTTTTGCATCTGAACGGGAAACTCCTACAAACACACTTGCAATAAGGTTAACCACAAAAATAACTGTCCTCATCTTTTCATTGCTAATTTCATTGCAGATTTGTCCGCTGTAAATCTACAACAAAAATGAGTTCCTTTTCAGGAACTCGAGCTGCGTCGAAACGCTATGGGAATGCCTTCAGCGTGACCACGCTCTGAATCACATGTGTAATCAGTCCAATGGATGGGCGAGACATCACGGGCAGGGTGGATACAGCGGCAGCTTTCTGTCATTCAGCAAGCGCTCTGTGTGTATGTGTGTCAGTCTGACTATCCGTTTGTGAGTCTTATTTAGTGTTGTCTGTCCCTCACTATAAGCCATCATAATGCCAAAAGCGAACGATAAGACTAAACACTTGGGCGAGAGCAGACAGCATTTCAGGCTGTGTGTTCCTCCCTGCCTGCGCTACATTCCGGGAGGGGATACACACAGTCTGTGCGTTGTCTGCTTGGGAGCGAAGCACGCAGAGTCATCTCTCGAGGGAGCTGACTGCACTTAGCTCCCGGAAGGCTCTCTTCGAGGAGGGAGCCTTCACCAGCGTTTCTCGCGGTGCCTGCCCCACTTCCGCTGAGGTGGAGCTGCAGCTGCGCTCGTGGGGATCGCAGATGGATCTGGTGGAGGGAATGGAGACGGGCGAGTCCCTTTCTTCTTCCTCACCCACCAGATCCATCGCCCAATCTCTGGGATCAGAAGCCCGCTCCGCTGGTGGGCAAGGGGTACACGGCAGCGGGTCAGGCTGGCGCTTGCTTGCACACCATGGCGGTGTTGCAGGCTTACCAAGCCGACCTGCTGAAAGAGCTGAATGAGGGCGAGGAGATTACTGTAAGTCTGAGGACATTACAGAACTCAGACGAACCGCTGATCTGTCTCTCCGTGCCACCAAAGAGACCACCCACACCATCGGCAGGTCTATGGCAGCACTGGTGTCGGCGGAGAGACTGTCTGATATGAAAGAGAAGGACAGGG